AATTAGCTTTCCAGATGACCCAAAACTGAAAGAGGATTGGATCCAACATCTCACCGCAGAGATGTCGAGTACCTTGCACCCGTCTCTGAATTTCAAGAGACTTATGACGGAATTACAGCGCCCGCAGTTGAAGTTAGCTCGGCCTGAATCCCTCAGTTTAGAAGGGGGAAACTAATCCGCTATGAAATCAACTGAGATGTTTCAGTCCAAACTGTAACTTTGTACAATAGCTTGTAGCTTCATCATGTTCGTTCGAATTTCATGCGCAACACCCTACCGCAAGTAACAAGAAGACGTTAGGTGGCAGTGCGAGAGACACCCTGTATCCCCCTTTCCCCCCCCCATTCGTGCGAACAGTCTGAAAGGTATAAATTTTGCAATGAATCATCCAGAGAGCGTCACGATTATAGACGGGACGGCTTGCTTAGGCAAGACGTCCGTGCTTAAGAGAATAAGTCTTCAATACCCGAATGTGGTAATTGGAGATTTTGCAGAAGATGTCCGACTGTACCCAGTCTTCAAAGACAAGAATACCGATGGTGCCATCGACATCGCGTATACTATTTTCCAATTGTCCAAACTACAAGCAAGATCAATTCACGATAGAGGGCCCTTAAGTGCACTCACCTACTCATTAATCTTTTCAATCATCGAAGGAAGAAGGTCCCTACAACAAACAGAAGACCTTATCGCCCGGTTCCCCAGGGAAATGTGGGAGATACCGAAACGAATGCAGACGATAATTGTGTTAGAAGACGATCCACAAGCATGTCTGGAGCGAATGCGCCTTAGAAACAACGGTCTTGATGTCATGACCATAGAATACGTAAAGATACAGAACGAAGTATTCAAATTGATTGCAAGTCGTATAGGTGCAAAAAAATTGACACGTAAAAAAGAAGAACCAATGGAAGCCTGGATTCATAGACTCCAAAAAGAGATCATGTTGTTACACACAACTCGCACACAAGCAAAAACTTTTTTTTAAAAAAAAAGGAGGAAAAGGAGAGAACAGAGAGAGGAGATATAACAGTGTTGATCATGGAAAAAATTCCCGTTGCCCTCGCGGTGTCCACGTTTGGTTTGCTCGTGCCAGTGGTGATGACCTACCGCCGAACTCTGATGGCTAAACTGTTCAAGGCAACCTATTTCGCACTAGTAACTACGTTGTTTGCTTACTCCCTAGGAGCATCATTATTCCCTCACCTTGCATCTACATTTTTCGAAATCTACAATGTCGTCAAGATCATAAATAACCAGCTGTCGTCTCTTCCAGCTCTTCTACTTACGGAAGCCCATCGACCATCCTATCATGAGGTCATCAAGATCTCTCTTATCTTCCCTTGTTTCTTTCTTCCCTTGGTGTGTTGCTACTCGCTCTACCATAAGCGACAGACCAAATTGGTGGACGACCTGGGTAA